AAATCCTTTCAAAGCCGCAAAAGACCTTAAATTATCATTAAAATCCCGCAATGAGAAAGATGCATGCTGAAATACTATTCGCAATACATTACATAAATTCAATTATCACGGAAGAATTGCCAGAAAGAATCCATTTATAAGTATTAAAAATAAAAACAAAAGAATAAAATATACTAAGGAATATTTACTAAAAACAGAAACCTTTTGGAATCAAGTAAATTGATGGTAAATCATCTTAAATACATTTTCATTGATAATTTTTATTTTTTTAAGGTTTTGTTCACTGATAAGAGTAAATTTAATCTGAATAGATCTGATGGTAAGATGTTTTTATGGCGTAAAAAAAAACCAAATGCAGAATTCAATCATCACAATACAAAAACCACATGGAGGAGGCTCTGTTATAGTTTGGGGTTGTATCTCGAGTGTTGGAGTAGGTAATTTGCATTTTATAGATAGTAAAATGGACAAATCTGGATACCTCGACATTCTGGAACAGAATGTAAAGCAAAGTGCAGAGAAATTGAGTATTGCAGAAAATTTTAATTTTTATCAGGACAACGATCCCAACCATAGGTCAGGCGTAGCAAAGCTTTAGTTGGTCCATAACTGCCCCAAACTCATAGACACACCTGCACAGAGCCCAGACCTTAATGTGATTGAGAGTTTTTGGGAGGAATTAGCTAAGAGAGTGTACCAAAAAAAATTAAACACAATAGTACAGCTAAAGGAGCATGGTACTCAATTGAGCCAGATGTGTGTCAAAAATTGTTAAAATCAGTTCCAAATCGTCTTCAGGACGTTCTGGATAACAAAGGATATGCAACAAAATATTAAATGCCACATTTCTGCATTTTTAACATGGATGCTTAATTTTGTCCGATTATAAATTGAGCCCAAAAAATTGTGTTGGTTCTGTTTTTTACTTTTAATTAACAGTTAATATGAGAAATATTTTATTTTTTTTTATAATTTATATAGATAAGTATGTCAAGTATTAATTAAAGCAAAAAAATCAATTTTAATGTTTAGAACACATTTATATCGAACAAATGCTTGTCCGATTATGTGATGGAGTCACTGTATGTAGTAAATTCTGTATATAAATCATGCTTATCACAATTATTTTATAAAACGGGACTCTTTGCAATGCAATTTATTTAACACAATAAAAAAATACTTTTATTTACATTTAGATCAGAGAACGTAAGGGCGCAACAACAAGCTTTGGGCAAACAGAAATACGATCTGTCAAAATGGAAATATTCTGAACTACGAGATGCAATTAATACTTCCTGTGATATTGAATTACTTGAGGTATGTATATTGCAATTATTATGAAAACATTTTTAAAAAAGCATGTTTGTATCTTATTAGGCTTGTCGTCAAGAATTTCACCGTCGTCTAAAGGTTTACCATGCTTGGAAAGCAAAGAATCGTAAACGCACTACCATGGATGAAAATGAACGTGCCCCTAAAAGTGTAATGGAAGCGGGTAAATATTTTAAAATTGATTGATTTTATTATTAAAAAATAAAAAATTTAATGATTACCTACTGGTTCAATAGCAACCAAGGCACCACCATTAATACAACCGAAACATGAAATCACAACAGCCCAACATCGTTATTTCCGGATACCGTTTATGAGAGCAAACGCACCTGAAAATAGTAAGAAATTTTTTTATACTTCATATAATAAATAAATTGTTCAATAATAATCTATGATTAAATAGCTAAACGTGGTTTATGGTATGCACATTTTGATGGTCAGTGGATAGCGAGGCAAATGGAATTACATGCAGATAAACCTCCAATTCTTCTAATAGCAGGTAACTATTCTTTGTTGTTTCACAATTTTGTCTTATAAAACTAAGATATTATTTTTTCTTTCAGGCATTGATGACATGCAGATGTGTGAATTGAGTTTGGAGGAAACTGGTCTGACTCGTAAGCGTGGTGCAGAAATTTTAGAAATTGAGTTTAATCGTGAGTGGGAGAAGAATGGAGGCAAACCATACAAAAATCTTGGCTCTCAAATATTATAAAAATGAACATATAAACACTTCCAGGAAACAAAAGGCGTTAAAATAATTGAAACTATAAAATTTAAAATATAATATTTAGTATTGAAAAATTTACTAAAAATTCAATAGTGAAATATAATCGAAAATATTTTTATAACTTTTTTGATATAAAAATTTCCAAACAACTGTCAACAGATGATTTACTTTTCGATTTAAAAGTGCCTTTGTGCTTGGAACTTATAAATTTCAATGTTAAAATATATTTAAAAACAGGAACGAAACTCATTCCAAATTATGGAGTTCTTATAAAATTACTAAAATTTAAATGTATTGTCTGAAACAGTATTTTAAATAAAACGTATCAATGTCCAATATTTTATTCATTACAGCATGTACAAAAAGTAATTATTACTCTATTTTAACAGGGCTTTATGTTCAGTTTATAATAATTAAATTTTATTTTATTAAATAAAAAACTTTTCATTACTTAACTATATTAAATTTTATTTACTGGTCTACGTCCGTAGATCATCTTTAGCGTACACTATTTGGAAAAAAATTTAGCGACTTCAAGCCCAAATAAAATGTAGTAATACTTTTACTTTAATAATAAAAGTCTATAATATTTATTAATTATATGAAATAATTAAAATGAAATATACTTAAATGAATCCCAGAGAAATATTAGTGTCCTATTATTGAGCCGTACAAATATAAACATAAAAAACTATGAAAAAGTATGAACTTCCTAAAATTAAAATAACTAAAGTAAATTTATTTATATCTAATGTTTTCAAATATGTTTTTCTAAATTATATGAATTTAACGACTTAAAAACAAGTTTAAAATTACATTGGCATGTGGCCAGATTATCATTTACAAATGTTTACAATTGTTTTTAACTATTATTAATATTAAATATTTTTATGTATTTGAATGTATTATTAAATTTATTGATAAAAAAATTTATTTAAAATATCTATTTATAAATCTAACTAATAATTCTATACACAAACATTTAAGGAAATAATAAAATTACTGCAACATGTAACCGAAATGGGTTTGCAATTCGTATACGAGAAAAGCACATGTTGTATTTGAAAGGACATTTATCTAGGGAAGATAATTTTCTACTTATAATAACAGCAAAAGTTCAAATGAAACTGCTGTCGTCAATACAGAATAATTATTACTATAATTGAGCAAAAGACTAGTATTTTTGTCGGGCTCTTATTTTATTATTATGGAAAAGGGGGAATAACTTGCTGGTCTTATTACATTACTTATTTGAAAGCTACTCTTCTTAAGTGTACGTCCTATCTATTTACTATAAAAAATTCAATAAACAAATATCCATAAAGATTTATTTAAGAAATTCTTTCGATAGCAGCCGTGATATACCATCATCAAATAAACATTTGCATATGTTTTCATACCTCTGGCACATCCGACACAAATGTGCTAAATGAAACGGCAAAAGTGCAACATTTCTCAAGTAAATAAATTGAACAGTTTTCAATTATTTTAGATAAAACCAATTCGTGTTTCAGTAATTCAAAATTTAAGAACAATAGTTTTTTATTAAATTTACCATGAGACAGGATAAACTGCAATATGTATATCTACGTGGCTTTTAAATTTTAATATAATTAATTAAATATATATTAATAAATTTGATTTAAGGACAGGCTATAGTTAAATAACACAATTTAAAAACAAAATAAAATTTAGTTCCCTCAAAATTTTTTTATTTAAACCAATATTTCGACAATATTTTATAGTCATCTATCTATGTTACAGAAATATTTGAGCAATACTTTAATGTAGATTTATTGTGATAGCTGGTCTGGATATTTTGTTATGATGCTTAAAAAATATTTATCTATTGCCAATATTTCGTTAATAACTTTTCCATCCCACAATATTTTTTTAAATATCTTTTTGTTAAACGCAAGATGAATGACACAATTTTGAATAAACCATGAGGAAATAAGGATTAACATCAAAAGAGTTTTAAATAAAAATGACTTCCCCAACCCAGTTGCCTATGACATCTTGGAACTCACAAGAAAATAACCAACAAAAACGCTTTTTCTTTGAAATGATTTATATTTTAAAATCTCCTTGCTACAGCACCAGGCTCAATTATAAAACTGATATACAAAACGGTGCTCATGTGTATAAAAACATCTTCAACAAATCCTAAAGAGGATAAATATATTATTTCTATATAGGTATACAGGGTGGCTGACGAAAATTGTAACAGTCTAAAATGCTCTATTTCGTTTATTTTTGTTGAATTCAATGAGAGATAAATGAAAACATGCAAAAAGAACTTCAAATTTTTAAGTTAATTTACAGCGCTCAAAAAAAGTATTCGTCATTAACTAAATTTTTACGAAATTTGTAATAACAACAAAACCAAACAAAAAAATGAAAAAATAATAATGCAGTTTTCAACGTTTGTATTTTGTTTATTTGTTTTAACTCTTTTTACTCCAAAAATTTAAAAATAAAATAGCAAAAAAAGCAATTCTATTGTGGAACACCAAAAATACCGCACACCCAGGGTTCAGAAAAACACTGTGCTGTGCACAAAAATGCAAAACACCACGCACAAATGTTGTGCGATTCTAAATAAAATTTCACACCACAAATGTGATGTGCGAAAATTTTTGTGCACATCTTAAGTGCCACATCTTGTGTGCACAAACAAAACGCACATTTCACACGAGTGTGGTGGAGTGAAATAAAACTCGCACACGCATTCGGTGTTTGTGCCGAAGTTATTTCGCACAGCACATTGTGTGTGCGGCAGCCAACTTGCCCTCGCACACAACGTGTGCAGAAAAGAATACGAGGAGCACATTTTGTGTGCAGACTCGAAAATAAAAATGCACCCAAATGTGCGGAGACGAAATGTCTACTGCACATTTGTGTGAAATGATGATTTAAAAGCGCACAATATTATGACAAATATCGCAGCAAAATAGTACATAAAACTGATTTGTTTTAATTTTGGTCTTAATGCGAAATATTTTATTGAAGAAATAATTTTGTATTTATATTTTAATTTTGAATTTATTATTAGATTTACATTTATTGCTTATATTACTTATTATTTTAAGGTTTATTAATTTAAAACATGAGAATAAAGTTAATTTCACAATGTACTTGAAAACTTTGTTAAATTAAATAGGTACATGAATTTAATAGAGAAAGAGTATTTGTTTCGAAATGTTATAAGTAAAGAGGATCGGTTCTACGGATCGTACTTTGAAAAAATTAAATATATCAATTTTGGACTACTTCATAAAATTTTATTTAATAGTAAGTTGTACACTAAGATTCGTTAGTAAGGTTATAAAAAGCAAATTAAATATTTTTTACAACAACATAAATTAATTTTGTTATTAGATTTCACTTAATTTTTTATCTTTAATTACAGCTTAAATTTAACGAAGTTATTGAAATAATTTAATATCTTAATTTCTTATTAAAAAATATTTAATTTTAATTACATATTTTTTGAAATAAATTTTCATTTAATCTTATTAATAACATTGCTGAAATATTTTTTTCACTTAAATTATATCTTTGGTTACTTAGCACAGTAGAAAGGGCGCTAAAATCCTGCTACCTGTTCAAGAAAATATTTTCCTAATCTTTCGCGTTTTTTAATGAATGTTAGATACTCTACCTAAGTGAATACATATTTTTTGGGCATAAAAACATCTTCCTAAAATATGTTTTTATTTCTTTTAAACTGGTGCAAAACTTTCCAAACAAATACTTTAAGTTCACTTACTATATTTGCATTTAAAAATGCACAAAGTAATATACAAAAAACTAATATTTTAAGTTAAAATACAAATAAGGTTAAGACAGTTATAATTTTTAGTTAACATTACTTAACAAAAATAATTATTTTAAATATTTGTTAATTTATGCAATTTTTAATATAAGTTACAATCCCAACGAACGCAAATATCAATTTTTTCAAAATTTGCAACAGAATAATATTTCTATTTCAAACAAAATTGTGAAGTTCCTGTAATTTTTTCCACCCTTGGGTGCAAACGCAAAATCGCAGATTTGTGCACGTTTGTGCATCGCACATTTGTGCACATTTGTGCACGTTTGAGCAATCGCACATTTGTGCACATTTGTGCAATCGTAATATGAGCAACACACTCGTGTGCAGAGAGAATTGTTTGTCGCACAGTGCGGTGCGAGCATAAAATTTTCTCGCACATCTGATTGTGCACATTTTTGTAAATCAGTCGCACAGCACAAATGTGTGTGCACGAATCTGTGTGCAGAATCATTGCTTTGTGCGATGTGAAATTTGAAATCGCACAACAAATTTGAGTGCGTGCATTTTTTTTCTTAACACCACAAATGTGCGTGTGTATATTTTAAAAATAATTTCCACTCGCACAGTGCAGTGTGCGATTTTGTGCACCACATTCCGAACTCTGCGCACACCCTTCCAGATAAGGCACACGTCGCCACTGCTACAAACGGCTTTGCGGTATTTTGGTCCATTCTCGGTTTAGCGTTTGCGTCAGATGATCGATATTTTGATATTTTTTAGCACCAAATTTATTTTTTAGAATACCCCAGACCGAGAAATATAAATGATTTATATCAGGTGAACACGATGACCATTGTGTTGATGGAAAAAAACAGGAAACGTTGATTCTTGATTGACGCATTGGAATGTCCAACGCTTGCGACCGAAATTCTCATTTACCCAGATCTTTAGTTCTCCCTCCAAAATGATTTCCCGATAGATTTAGGCGTTTATTTTTACCCCATGGTCTATGAACACGAGCGGAGAGCAACCATTAACCATTACGGCGGCCCACACCATCACCGCTTGATTTCTAGTGCCAATCGTATATTTAAACTTTCAGCTGAACTCTTTGACAAGTAAACCCGACATTTTGCTTGTTTACGGACTGCGCAATTACGAATTATGACTCATCAAAAAAACTACATTCGGCAACCCACCATTTCGACCAAACGAACCAACACTTTAGTTCTTTTGATTTTTTTGTTCATCGCTGAGATCATGCACTTTGTTCAACTTCGGCTTTAGACCGAGCTCATTTTCAAAATGTGTTGTATTCTTTCTTGCGATATGTTAAGCACCTTTGCGATTTGATTGCATTTTGTTTTCTTTGGTCCACTTCCTGGGCGTAGGGCAACGATACCAGTATATCGGTATCCAGCTATGGTGCAAGAGACAATTGATTTTTCACATTTGGATGTTGGAGGGCTCAAACGATAGCCACTTGAGTTTTTCTAGCCAAATATATATCAATCACACTATCACGTTTTAACTCCATTACATTACAACACAAATCTC